TCCCCCCCGTAGCCCTCGCTGGGCCCCGTCACCCTCCAGGGCTCCCTCGTGCTCCAGCACCTCCTGCATTTTGGGGACCCGGGGCCGGTTTTGGGGAGTTTGGAGGCTTTGCCCCCCCAGGCCTTGGTGGCCTTGGCTTGTAGCCCCCCGGGGAGCCGGGTCTGGGATGCCCTCCTGGCCTCCCCCACCGTGCCCCCCCGCGCCCGCCGCCGCCTCCTCCGCAAGCTCAAGGTAAGGGGAAGGGTCCCCAGCAACATTTTGGGGCCAAAAATCCACTTTGGGGTATTTTTGTGGCGGTTTCAAGTCTCCTCTGCAAAGAAACGTGGTGGTTTCAAGGCTCTCCTTGTCCTTTGGGGGCGGTTTCAAGGGGTTCCCTTAAGAGACATCTCCTCCCCAAGCTCAGGGTAAAGGGGGGAGGGGCCCCAGCACCATTTTGGGGCCAAAAATCCATTTTGGGGAATTTTTATGGCAGTTTCAAGCTCCCTCTGCAAAGAAACATGGTGGTTTCGAGGCTCCCCTTGTCCTTTGGGGGTGGTTTCAAGGGTTTCCTATAAGAGACATCTTCTCCCCGAGCTCAGGGTAAGAAGGGGAGGGTCCCCAGTACCATTTTGGGGCTAAAAATCTGCTTTGGGGGATTTTAGGGGCGGTTTCAAGCCCCTTCTGCAAAGAAACGTGGTGGTTTTGAGGCTCCCCTTGTTCTTTTGGGGCGGTTTCAAGGGTTTCCTTTAAGAGCCATCTCCTCCCCGAGCTCAGGGTAAGGGGGGGAGGGTCCCCAGCCCCCCCCCAGCCCCATTTTGGGGCTAAAAATCTGCTTTGGGGGATTTTTGTGGTGGTTTAAAGCCCTCCCGATACAGACAAATAGTGGTTTCAAGACTGCCCCTTGTCCTTTTGAGGCGGTTTCAAGGGTTTCCCTTAAGAGACATCTCCTCTCCAAGCTCTGGGTAAGGGGGAGGGGCCCCAGCAACGTTTTGGGGCTAAAAAATTGCTTTTGGGGGATTTTTGTGGCGGTTTCAAGCCTCCTCTTAAAAGACAAGTGGTGGTTTTGAGGGTCCCCCTTGTCCTTTTGGGGCAGTTTCAAGCCTTTCCCTTAAGAGACATCTCCTCCCTGAGCTCAGGCCAAGGGGGGGGAGGGTCCCCAGCCCCTCCCACCCCCATTTTGGGGCCAAATCTCCACTTTGGGGGATTTTTGTGGCAGTTTCAAGCCCTCCTGATACATCCAAACGGTGGTTTCGAGGCTCCCCCTCATTCTTTTGGGGCGGTTTCAAGCCTTTCTCTGAAAGTAGGGGTGGGACCAAATGGTGCCGAGGCCCCTCCCCTCTGCTGACGTCACTTCCTGCTTTGTCCCCGCCCCCTCCCCCCCCGGCAGGGTCACTTCCTGTCCCTGGCCTGTCACCGCAACGGCAGCCGCGTCCTCGACGCCGTCTGGGCCTCGGCCTCCGCCCCGGCCCGCGCCGCCATCGCCGAGGAGCTGGGTGAGTCTTTCCTCATTCTTTTGGGGCGGTTTCAAGCCTTTCTCTGAAAGTAGGGGTGGGACCAAATGGTGCCGAGGCCCCTCCCCTCTGCTGACGTCACTTCCTGCTTTGTCCCCGCCCCCTCCCCCCCCGGCAGGGTCACTTCCTGTCCCTGGCCTGTCACCGCAACGGCAGCCGCGTCCTCGACGCCGTCTGGGCCTCGGCCTCCGCCCCGGCCCGCGCCGCCATCGCCGAGGAGCTGGGTGAGTCTTTTTTGGGGTGAAAAAAGGGGGGAAACGCCCTCAAATTGCCCCCTAACCTTCCTTCCCCCCCCCTGCCCCACAGCCCCCCAGCGCCAGGCCCTACGGAGAGACCCCCACGGCCGAGGGGTGGCCCGGACCATGGACCTCGACCTCTTCTTGCGCCGGCGAAAGGCTTGGGAGAGGCTGCAGGAGGCCCAGGGGGGGAAACGTGGCCTCTTGGGACCCCTCCTCTTGGGGGATTGAGGGGCACCCCCCAACCTGCCCGGGCACAGGGGGGGCGCGGGGAGGGGAGCACTCATGGAGAGGAGCCCCCCTGGAGGAGTTTGGGGCACAAAGATGGAGGATGGAGAGAGAGAAGGGCTACTTGGGGGGATGGAGAGGGCTCTTGGAGGGACAGAGAGGCCTCTTGGAGGACTTTGGGGCACAAAGACGAAGGATGGAGAGAGAGAAGGGCTCCTTGGAACAATGGAGAAGCCTCTTGGAGGACCTTGGGTCACAGAGACAAAGGATGGAGAGACAGAGCGGCCCCTTAGAGACCTCTTGGAGGACTTTGGGTCACAAAGATGAGGGATGGAGAGACAGAACAGCTCCTTGGAGGCCTCTTGGAGGACTTTGGGTCACAAAGACGAGGGATGGAGAGAAAGAAGGGTTCTTTGGAGGCCCCTTGGAGGACTTTGGGCCACAAAGATGAAGGATGGAGAGAGAGAAGGGCTCCTTGGAGGGACAGAGCAGCTCCTTGGAGGACTTTGGGGCACAGAGATGAGGGATGAAGAGACAGAGTGGCTCCTTGGAGGGATGAAAACTCATCTTGGAGGACTTTGGGCCACAAAGATAAAGGATGAAGAGACAGAACAGCTCCTTGGAGGCCTCTTTGAGGACCTTGGGTCACAAAGATGAAGGATGGAGAGACAGAGCGGCTCCTTGGAGGCCTCTTTGAGGACCTTGGGTCACAAAGATGAAGGATGGAGAGACAGAGCGGCTCCTTGGAGGCCTCTTGGAGGACTTTGGGTCACAGAGATGAGGGACAGAGCGGCCCCTTGGAGGACTTTGGACCACAGAGACGAGGGATGGAGAGACAGAGCGGCCCCTTGGAGGACTTTGTACCCGGAACCAGCGAGTCCCTGGAGGACCAGAGGCCAGAGAGGACCCTCCCCCCTCGGTGAGCACCATAGAGTTCCCCGGGAGGGGCCACTCTGGTCTCTCTTCTCCCGTCTTGTCTGCTCCTCTCCCCAAACCTGGTGGACCAGAGGCCAGAGAGGACCCTCCCCCCTCGGTGAGCACCATAGAGTTCCCCGGGAGGGGCCGCTCTGGTCTCTCTTCCCCCCCTCTCCTCTGCTCCTCCTCTCCCCAAACCTGGGTTTTTTCACTAAATTCACCGTTTTTTATCCTTTTTTCCCCGTTTTTTTTTTATCAGGAGGAGCCCCAGGCCCCTCCCCTTCCCTACACACCCCACGGCGGCCATATTGCCCCCCACGGCCGCCCCCCCTTTGTTCAATCAAACCCTTTATTGGGGATATGTGGGGAGCAGGGGAGGGGGTGGGGTTTAGGGAGGTCAGTGGGCGGGGTTTAGGGGGGTCAGGACCCCTATAGGGCAAATACCCAATTCTATGGGGCAGATAACAAACCCTATGGGGCAGGAGAAGACCCCGTGGGGCAGATACCCCACTCTATGGGGCAGATAACGAATCCTATGGGGCAGGAGAAGACCCTATGGGGCAGGAGAAGACCCTATGGGGCAGATACCCCGCCCTATGGGGCAGGAGAAGACCTTGTGGGGCAGATACCTCACCTTATGGGGCAGGAGAACACCTGGCAGATACCCAACTCTATGGGGCAGATATTGAACCCTATGGGGCAGGAGAAGACCCTATGGGGCAGATATCCCATCCTATGGGGCAGGAGAAGACCCTATAGGGCAAATACCCCACCCTATGGGGCAGGAGAAGATCCTATGGGGCAGATACCCCACCCTATGGG